GCTCCCCTCTGCTCAGCGCCTCCCATTTCATCTTGAGCATCTGTCCACACCTTTTAGGCACCAACTGTGTGCATAGCATTTCATCAGGACTCACCTGCTCTCTTCCTTCTCAGGGGTCCCTCCCCCAGCTCACTTCCCTAACACCCCCAGGCCCCCACCCCCCCACCTCATCTGCCAGCAAGGTTGTCCTCTCCACCAGGCTTGCCCTCTTGCTGTTACCCATCCCTCCTTGCCAGTGCAGACCCCACCCCACCCTGCGGCTTGCACACCTTCCCATTCACCCACATTCAAGACCTCCCATCATCCCATCTTGACCTCGGGAGTCTTCTCACCCTCCCCGGGTCCCTCAAAGCCTCTCCTTCAGGCCGTCCCACTCCCCACGTAAGGTTTTTTCCACCTTGGCTACTGCTGAGGCTAGAACTGGCTTCCCCTGGAGACAGCAGATTTCAGGATGATCCCTGCTTAAGACCCGCTGATCCCCCCCATTGGTTCTCTATTGATAGAAGACCCAGCTGGTGACAAAAGCCTCAAGCCCTGGGGTGGGGGGGGTCCGCCAGCCTGGGCTGTCATTCCAAGCACGCACCACCAGGTGGCGCCCGGGCACCACGCTCCGCGGCCGCCGTCCCGGAGCCTGACAGCCTCCTCTCCCCAGGAAGGACAGGAACCCTCGTCCCCACGTCCACTGTCCGCCAAACACATAGGCAGTTAGGGACCATCTTCCTTCAGTAGGCTGCCATTCTGCTCTATGCAGTAGACGGGCCACCTTGGGCCCGGATCAAAATGTTCTTAAATTGGCTCTAGCTCACCCCAGCCCAGCCCTTCCCGCGCCCGCCCCATCCCCCGGGATCCGGAGGAATATCATACATCGTAGGTGAATCGTTTCGTAGTGAGGAATGCTGATGTAAAGCAAATAGTCACCCACATTCCTTGTAAATCCAAATTTCTTAATATTGTAGCTTTGCTTAAAACGAGGTCAGCCCCCAACTGCTCCCTTTTTCCAGCAGGTGGGTTGGAAACCAGCCTTCTGCGAGGATGGGAGGGCGGCGACCCCGGAGGCTGCGTGAGGCAAAGAGAGGGTGCTGTCATTCTTTCCGCTCTCCCTGGGACCCACCTCGGCTTTGGGGGGCCCCTCCACCCCTGGGGGATCGGCGGGGGAGCGCAACCCCTCGCCCCAAGCCCTCGGGGAACCGAGCTGACTGTACTGAGTGGGCGGGGCAATGTCAGCCTCCTCTCCGAGCCCCGCCCACAGGGCGATTAGCCAATCACATGCTCCGGGTGGAGTCTGTTCTGTATCAGCCCGGCCCAAGCACGTGGGTGGCCCCGCCTGGCTCCCTGTGACCCTGGGGGCTTGGGGAGAGGTGGCCTCTGCGGGGGTGCCGAGGGCTCCGGAAAGCAAGCACAGGAGGAGGTGGGTGATGTGGGCCAGGGCCTGGCGGAGGTCTTGAGCAACAGGAGATCAGGAAATGGGGGGACTTGAAAGGAGGCACTGGAGCCCTGCCACCATCCTAGAACCTTGGGCAAGACACCCGCAACCCCTGGGCCTCAGTTTCCCTATCTAAAATGATGGTAATAATACTTCACCTACCTCATAGGGGAGGTTGTGAGGCCACCATCACCTGACCTGGGGTCAAGGCAGGAGGGCTCTGAAGGTGCTACCCTCGAGCAAAGTATTAGCGCAGCCTGAGCGCAGGGCCCACCCACCCACCCCTCCCCCAAGAGCCTCCAGGGACAACCGAGGCCTGCCCTGGCCCTCCCTGTCTCCCTCGTGTCCCAAGTCCCTTCATCACTGTCATCTGTCGTCTTTGTGGGAGCCCTAGGTGTAGTCGTTATCGTGTTCGGGTATCTGTTCTTGTGACCATCTCCCCACCTACCTGCTGTACAAACTCCACCTGCTCCAGGACCCCGGACCTGCTCACAGGTGACATCAGTCGCCAGGGAAGGGTCAGGAAAACAGCCACACAACACATCCAAAAAAAAAAGGGGGGGGGAAGGCCTAGTGTGGGGATTGGTGACTGCTGTTTGTATCATGTTTGAGTCCTTGAGCGCAAGTGTTTTATATAAAAAAATCAATAAAAACCCACTGTCACAAAAAAAGGGAAAATATTACAGCGAAGAGAAATGAAGAAAAACTGAAGGGGGGAAAAAAAGAACCATGCGAATTTTTTTCCACTACATGCACCCTCTAAGCCAGCAAGATTTCCTCTTTGCAAAATCCTATTTTTGTGGGAATGGGCCTGCTTTTTGTGGCAAGACTCATTCTGATTAATAAAGGATCGTGAAAATGTAGGGCCTCGCCTGTTTCCTCGGGGCTCCAGTCCTCCCTCGTTCCCCAGGGGAAGAGGCAGTGGGGTGAGGGGCATGGGGAGCTGGGGCCTCAGCCTCCCCTCCACTGACTCCTTGCAGATCTGACTTCCTTTGGTGACAAGGCCCTTCCCAAGCTCGAAGCCCATCCTCAGATCTAGAAGGCAAATCTCCCAGCTGCTCTAAATGCAAGGAAACAACTTCAAAAAACCCTCAACAAGGCCCCGAGGGGGTGTCCTTCCAGCCTATGGGGGTGGACAGCCGCCTCTCCCCTGAGAGTCCCCATGGCATTCTCAACACCCTGTAAGGCAGGTCTGACAAACCCACTTCCAGCAGGGGCCGCTGTAGCATCAGGCTGCCTTCTGGCACATTTATTCCCATGGAGAAAGGAAAAACTCAGACCCCCTGATATGTGGGCTGCATCTGGGACTTCTACCCACTATTTTCTAGTTTAAGGAGTCACAGTTCACAGAGAATTACACTGCTAGTCAAAGATGACCTCTCTGGCAACTTGAGTCTGCCAGTGGCCCTCACTTCTCATGTTGTTTTGTTGTTATGTGCCATCGAGTCACTTGCGACTCATAGCGACCCTATGTACAACAGCCCTAAACTCTGCTCTGTCTTGTGCCAATCGCACCGTCTCTGACACACCCATCCAGATCATCCCAGTCACTGAATCAATCCACCTCATAGGGGGATTGTCTGTGCTGTCCCTCCACCCTACCAAGCATGATGTCCTTCTCCAAGGACCTGTCCCTCCTTGCAACATGTTCAAAATATGTTAGATGAAGCCTCAGAATCCTTGCCTCCAAGAAGCAGCCCGGTTTGACCCTTTCACGTTGTTTAGAGCCTCATAAATCCAACACAGAGTCGGCTTCCAGTCTGTTCCAACCCGATGGCAGTGGAACGTGGCATAGTAGGATATGCATTGGGCTGCTGGTCAAAGGGTTGGTGGTTTGAACCTAGCAGCCGCTCCTTGCTCCTCAGAAGAGAGAGAGATGGGCTCCTATTTAGATTTACAGCCTCAGAACCGATGTTTCCCAGGCAGGGTCACCATGAGTCAGAATCAACTTAATGGTGGTGAGTTTTGTCATTAAGTGGCATCACGCTGATTCGGACTCATTGGAGAGGGTAGAACTGCCCCATTGTGTTTTCTAGGCTGTCATCTTTCATATATATATATTTGTGTGTGAGTGTACCGTCAAATCAGATCTGACTGGTACAGGAGGAGATTGTCCCTCCTTTTCCCGGCAGAGCATCTGGTGGATTCGAACCCTGTGCCTCTGGGATTGTAGTTGCAGCACTAGGCCACCAGAGCTCCCCTAGGCTGTCATCTTTCAAGCAGCAGATTGTCAGGGCTTTCTTCCGCAGAGCAGGCCAGGTGAATCTGCACCACCGATCATTGCACTGCTTTAACCATTGCACTACCAGGGTTCCTCATTTCATCCCTTAGGATTAGAAAAGGCTCCCCCGACCCAAGAGGGGCCACGGCTAGTTCTGGCCTCAGGGCTGGGAAGCTATGCTGTAGCCCCATCCTTCTCAAGCCTCGTGGGCCCAACACACTATTTCTCTCCCTCAAGATCTCAATTCCCTCCTTCCTCAAAACAGCAATAACCCCCCAGCCAGACCCCTCCAGGCCTCCCTACACTCCCCCGACCACCCCAGGGTACTTGAGAAGGCTTCAGACACAGGCACCAAAGGAACAGGCCTACCCCCTTAATATGTGTCCCAACGCTAGAGCATGTGGGAGTGGGCCGCCTCCCACTCGTTCCAGCTCCTGGGGCCAGCAGCTGTACCCCCACTGAAGCCACCTGCCTTCCCCTCCCATCGTAACGATTCCTTAGCACTTGGACTAAACGTGGCATTTGAAGGTCACCCTAACTCCTGCTCAGGAGCTTGAGGGAGCCCCAGGGCCAGGTAAGTAGCCTCAGACGTGGACCTCTCATCTGCAGGGACAGTGCAAGGTGGCAGCGCCCTCTGGTGACCAGTCACCCGCTCAGGGCCCTCTTTCCTGCCTTCATTTCTTGACTTCTCTCTTCATCCCTTCTTCCTCTGTGATCTTCCTTCCTTCATGGGCCTGGGACCACCGCCCATCTGTTGGCATTCCTTTCTCCGAACCCACTGCACTCCGGAAGCCGTCCTGGGCCAGGCCCGCTTGCCTCTCCCTCTCCCACAGAGACAGCCAGCAGAATGCGCTTGAACAAGCTGTACGCCCCACCTCTCCTCTCTGTTTCCCTCCACCATGCCTGGTCCCTGTGTCTGTGTCCTGTGTGTGTGTGTGCACGCGTGTGTTGTTTAGTTTAGATTGTGAGCCCCCTCGGGCAGGGACTCCTGTCTGACACGTGTTCCCTGTGGCACGCCTGAGTGTGCTAATAAAGTTTCTGCTCAGAATCAGAATGCCCAGGTGTCATGGGGGGCGGGGGTGCTGTGAGACAGAGGGCTGGATCCGCCTTGTGCGGGAATCAAAGGCGGGGAGGTGCTTCTGGGTAGATCCCACAGCTCCAAGCAGCCTGTGCTTGTTCCCCCCTTCGCACCCCCAGGCCCTGAGGTTGGGCAGGTAGGAAAGGACACTCCTTCCTGGGTCTCTGCTGGCCAGGGCGCCCCAGGAGGAAGAAAAAGCCGCAGTTCACTGGCCAGCCAAGGATGGAGCCTCTGCTCCATGTGGTAGGAGGCCTGGAACAGGAGTCATAGGACCCATGCATATGAGGAAGTCACCTTCGCTCCTGAGTCCTGGCCCTCCTGCCTCCTCTCTGCAGTTCCCACAACCTTGCTTCCCCTCCTAACCCGTCACTCCCTTGGCCTGCGTCCCTGGTCCTTGACGCAAACACAGCTCCTCTGGGGCCCACCCACCTCCGACTGCCCGAGACAACTTGTGAACCCACAGACGTTTCCTGATTTTCCAAGTGACCCCTCTGTAAGTGGTCTCCTCGCTGCAAAGAGGCCACGTGAGAAGGCACGAGAAGAAGAGGGTAGGAAAACGTGCTAGAGCTGCAATCCAGAGTTCTCTCGATCACGCCGACCCCCACTGTCCCTTATTACTGTCTCTGTTCTGGTTTCCTCTTTCCCACGTGGAAGACAAAGGCCCTGTAACGCCAGGCAGCAGCACCCTCTTTTACCCAAACCCTCTAACTCCCAGGAGGAACTGGGCCCCGCTAGTGGAGAACAAGTGAGTAGCTAAGCCAGGCCTGGGCGGCCTCCTCTGCTTTCCCCGGGGAGAAGCCCAGCCAAATGCACCATTGTCAGCTGATGGTCTGTGGTGATGACCTTGAATGACTCAAGACTGTGGAAGGGCTTGTTACAGGGTAACAGATCAGAAAGGTATAGGACGTGTGGGAACCGTAGTACCAGTGGGTACCCGACAGTGACTGTGGTCCCCTCCCAAGCATCTAGGAGTTGCCTGAAAGCACAAGTTGCTGGGAGCGTTGCCCTGCAGCGTCAGGATGAATTCTTGCTCAGCTCCTCTGCCTACAGATGGAGAAACTGGGGCCAGTGGTGGAGGTGGGCTAAAGGTCATTGCTAAAGGTCACTTGGACAATAGCAGAGCCAAAACCAGAAGCTATGTCTTTCGATTCCAGATGTCGGGGTACATCCTCCATGCACACAACCCCCAAAACTTCTGACAAGTCGAACTCAACTCCTAGCAGCTCGGCGCGCCATCAGGTTTCTGATTCAGTAAATCTTTATGAGAGGAGACTGCTCGTTGTTTTCCAAAGGAGTAGCTGGTGGGTTCAAACCACCAACCTTTAAGTTAGCAGCAGAACTTGTGACATAGTCCAGTCACCAGAGCCTCGACACAGCTAGCTATGATCAAAAGGACAGTCTCCAGTCAGTCACAACTCGGGTCCACCTGGGCGGACCTGAGGTCTTGCGTTCCCTCATCCCAGTCCCCTGGACAGGAGGACCCACTGGTCCTGTCAGAGTCCTGACAGAGACCACAGGGTTGTGAGGGGCCCTGGGAGCACGAGGCCTACAGCCCTACAAGGCCCAGAGCCCTCTCCCTCCTTGGTAAGCAGGCTCTAATCTTTCCCAACCCATCACCTCTTTCTGCCCATTCTGCCTTCATGCTGACCAGATCCACCCCCAGCCCCTCCTTCACCCAGGCCCAGTCCAGCGCCAGCCAAGTAGGGCCTGACCTCTTGGCCCCCTGCATGACATCAACCACTGTTGCCATGGTGATGGAGGCCTGGCAGCATCTCCCAGGGCCTCTAGACTGGAGGTTTTAACATTTTCTTTCTTCCTTGAAATCTTTCATTTTCCCCTTAGCAACAAGGAGTAATGCCAAAGCAGCAAAAAGGGACTAAGAGGCAGAAACAGAGAAAAGTAGATGCGAGATAGAGGGAGGGAAGGAGGGAGCCATGGAGGGGGGCAAAGTGGACCAGCATCAGCAAAAGGACAGAGAAAGGTCAACCCAGCTTGAAGGAGATTCAAAAGCATCAGGAAGTCTCCCAAAGCGAAGAATGATGGAAGAAAGAGGCTGGAGGAGACAGACAGCTTAACCAAGGGAGTTGGGCAGCTGGTAGACAGGGAGTGAGTTACGGCAAGACGGAAGAACAGCCTGCAATCACCAAGCTGTTTCTGATGACGAGTGCTTGTCCCCCAGACAGACAGGACTCAACAGTTGGCCAGGGTCAGCCTGACTCAGAGCTAAGACACACAGATGAGGGGGGGCAGTGCCAGTGGGAGTCCAGGGTCCCTGTAGTGAGAGGAGCCAGTGCCCCAGAGCTTATAAATAAACAGGCGCGTGGGAAAAGCATTCTTTCTCCAAGAAATATAATTTATGTTTACAGCCAGGGTTTGGTTGTGTTTTTTTGTTGGTGTTTTTTTTTTCTTTCTCCTAAAGAAAAGCACGACCTTGTGGGGCTCCTGCCCCCAACGGTGTCCCTGAGAGTCCCCAGCCCCGGGCTGGCCCCCTCCTCCCATTATTGCTTGGATGGGAAAGCGCTGGTCCTGGGAACGGCAGTGGGAGGCCTCCATTCCTCACCCCCTCTAGGCTGTCCTTGGTGACAGAGTGGAGGCACACAGTGCCTGTCCCGTGCCCCTCACCGTGCCAGGCGCACTGGCTGTGCCCAATTAAGGGAATAGAGAGTGCAGGCAGGGGGCGAGGCTCCGGAGCAGCCTCCCCAAGTGGAGCCTCCCTCCTGGGCGCAGGGGGCCGGAGAGGCACAGTGGCTGCGTTTCCAATTGGACAGCTGGAAGACTCTGGCTGTGGGGAAGGAGCCAGAGCGCTTTCCCAGCAAGATTCCAGGCACAGGCTGGGAGAAGGGGGGGGGGCGAAGAAGAGGGATCCTGCCTTCTGTCTCCCCTTCCCCAAAGACAAGGGGTCCTGGGGAGGGAGGTATGTGCAATAAGCCCCAGTAAAGGGGTCGGGCAGCTATGGTGTTGGAGCCCCAAACCCAAGTTTCCCCCTTCCGTTCTTGGGCACCAGCCCCTGCCTGGGGCTCTGCCTCACCCCGGAGGTAGTGGCTCCTGAACCAGAAAGGATGGGCCCAGGCAAGCCAATCCCCAGAAGCAGGAGAGTGGTGGGCACCCAGACTCAGCAAGAGGAGAGGAGGCCACAGGCAGCGAGGGCCTTGGCTCCAGGACAGAGCTGGCACCTCTGTTGTACTGTTAGTGGTCCCATCAAGGACTGGATGGCGAAGGGACTTCTTGTTCTGACGACAGCTGACAATCAGCCATGAGTCTTCTTAACACCCCTGAAGTGTCTGAAGATGGCCCTCGGGCCTGCCTGTGCCCAGCAGCTCATCCAAAGCGGCCTCTCTGTTGCTCCAAGTAGGAGCCCACCGGTCCCACAGACCCGGCAGCCAACGTTTCCCTGAGCCCCTCCTTCTATAAGGCTGAAGTCCACCCCTTCTGAGCGCAGGTTCAGGTGCCCAGTCCCGGAGCGGCTTCCAGGGCGCGGAGGCTGCCCCCCGCGCGCTCCAGGGCCCCAGCACCACCGCCCCCTATCAGCAGTTCCTCCTCCTCCTCGTCCTCGAAGGCTCGCACAGGGCGCCGCGGCTGTGGCCGGGGCGTGGGTTCGTCGCGCTCGGCCATGCGCTCGACGGCTCCCTCGCCCACGAGGAAGACGGTGTCAGCGACGCGTGGCGGCCCGGTGACCGGATTGTGGTCATAGGAAAAGACGCGCAGGGCGCGCAGCGGGTGCAGGTCGGGGAAGCCGCCCAGGCGGTTGCGGTCGAGGTCGAGGATGTGCAGGCGGCCCATGCGCAGCAGCGCGGGCGGGAACTCCTCGAAGCGGTTACCGTAGAGCCAGAGGCCACGCAGGCCAGTCATGCGCGGCAGCTCGGCGGGCAGCGCGCGCAGCCGGTTGTCGCCCATCTGCAGCGACTGCAGCGCCACCAGGCGCAGCAGCGGCCGCGGGAAGCGCCGCAGGAAGTTGCCCTCGATCCAGAGGCAGCGCAGGCTCTGCAGCTGCGCGAAGTCGGCGGGCAGCGCCAGCAGCCGGTTGCTGCCCAGGTAGAGGCGCGTGAGGCGCGGCAGGCGGCACAGGCCGTCGGGCAGGCGCTCGAGCTTGTTGAAGTCGAGCGCCAGGATGCGCAGCTCGCGCAGCTCCTCGATCTCCTCGGGCAGCTCGCGCAGCCCCGTGCCGCTCACGTACAGCTTCTGCAAGCGGCTCAGCGCGCACACGGCGCTGGGCAGCCGCCGCAGCCGCCGCCCGCTCAGCTCCAGCTGCTGCTCGCCGCTGCGCAGCTGCTCCTCCGCGTCCGACGGCAGCTCGTCCGGCGTGGACTCGGCGATGCCCATGGTCACGGGCCCCTGCCGGGGCCACCGCCGCCGCC